TATTCATGCATATCCATTCCCCATCTGGCAACTCCATTATGAGCAGGGTTGGATTATGACCTCCCCCCCCCCTCAGAATGTCGCTAAAATATATCACGAGTAAAAAGAAATTACATAGTTTGAAGTAAACTTATTGCAAATTCTATAAATCAACTAGCATAGCTATCTTTGTCAATGAAAATATTCTTCAAATATAGTAAAAGTTGTTTGGTATTTAAAGACAAAAAAAATTGTTTTCACGACGGTTTTTTTTTATAACCAAACCCTAGGCTGCAGCCTGTACTAACCTAAAGGATAATCCGGCCCTGATTTTGAACCAATCAAATAAGTAACAATTCATAGAAAAAAACAAAAGCAAAAACAGAATGTGATTATATTTCACAATCACATTACTTCTATCAGATTTGGTGATAGATGTTGACAAGGGATGAAAAGAAAATCAAGAACCCCAGGAGCCTTAAAGAGAGGGAGAAAGAAAAGTAAAAGCAGTTTATAGACGCGACACTCGACCCTTGTAACATCCACCCATACCCTCCCAAGCCTCCCTCCCAAGCCTCCCTCCCAAGCCTCCCTCCCAAGCCTCCCTCCCAAGCCTCCCTCCCAAGCCTTCCTCCCAAGCCACCCTCCCCCCTCCCCCCTCCAACCACTCCCCCAACCACCTCTCAAACCCTCCATCAACCCCACCCCGCAACTACCTTCAATCAACCTCAAACCACTCCCCCAACAACCCCCCCCCCAGCCACCCTGAAACCACTCCCCCAGCTAACCCCCCCACTAACCCTTCAGGCAACCCCCAGCCAATCCTCCCAGCCAATCCTCCCAGCCAACCCCCCAGCCAACCCCCCAGCCACCCCCAGCCAACTCTCCAGCCAACCCCCAGCCACTCCCCAACCACTCCCCAGCTACCCCCTAGCTACCCCCCAACCACCCCCCAGCAAATCCACCAAACCACACAGCCACACCTAACCAGCCAGCCGCCCCCAACCACACCCAACCAGCCACCCACTCACACCACACTACTCGACCACACCACACTACCCACCCCTACCCCCACATCCGACCACCTAACCACTCAACCCCCCCAACCACCTAGCAACCCAACCACATCCAGCTACCCAGTCACACCCCTTATACCCCCCACTTATACCCCCCCCCAGACACCCAACCACCTAAATACACCCGGTTGTGACCGGTGGGGGGTGGCCAACTACCCTCATCCAACCAACCACACCCAACTACCCCCCAGCCCTCCCAGCCACACCCACCCAGTCACGCCTAACTACCCACCCCCAACAAGCCAGAGCCATGCCTAACCACCCACCCCTAACCAGCCAGCCGACCCTAACCACACCCAACTAACCACCTAGAAACCCAACCACACCTAACTATCCACCCAGCCACACCCAACCACCCACACAGCCACCCAAACAACCACCCAGCCACACCCCAGCTATCCCCACCCCCCACTCAACCACCCAGGAACATCAAACTACCAACTCAGCCACCCAAACACACCCAGCCACCCCCACCCCTACCCCCACCCAACCACCCAGTCACAACCTAACCACCAACCCCAGCCACCACACCTCTTCAACCACCCAGTCACACCCAACTACTCCCAACCAGCCACACAGTCGCACCCTGACAAGTCGCCCTGCCAAACATCGACCAGCCACCCAACCACATCCCGACAAGCCATCTAGCCACACCCCTACTAGCTACCAAACCACATCCAACCAGCCACCTACACCCAACCAACCATCCAGCCACAGCCACACCCATCCTCACCCAACCACCACACCTATCCAGCCAGCCGCCCCCAACCACACCCAGCCACACCCAACCACTCACCTAGCAACCCAGCTACACCCAGCTACCCAGCCACACCCAATTACCCAACCCCAAGCAGCCAGCCACCTACCCGCCTACCCACGTAACCACATACACTCAACCAATCACCCACTTTCACCCAGCCACACCCAACCGCCCAGCCTCACCCAGGCATACTTAACCAGCCACCTAACCACCCAGCCCCACCCTCCACCTACCCAATCACCTAACCTATCCCACCCACCCAACCACCCGGCCACAGCCACCCCCCACCCAGCCACTCACCCAACAACCTACCCCCACCCACCCAACCACAGCCACACCCAACTAGCCCCACCCACGCAACCACCTACCAGTACCCACCCAGCCACACCCAACTACTTACCGCCACCCACCTAATCACCCAGCCACGCCCATACACCCACACTCATCCAGCCACCCAGCTACACTCAGCCACACAATCACCTACCCGACCCAACCAGCCCCACCCACCGAACCACCTACCAGTACCCACTCAGCAACACCCAACTACCTACCCCCACCCACCTAATCGCCCAGCCACACCCCATAAACCCACACCAACCACCCAGCCATACTCTACCCACCCGGCCACACCCAACCAGACACCCAGCCACACCCGATCAGCCATACCCAACTAGACACCCAGCCACACAATCACCTACCTCCACCCACCTCTCCACCCGGCCATATTTATACACCTACCCACACCCAACCAGCTATCCAGCCACACCCAACTAACCACCCACCCCCACCCAACCAGCTACATAGCCACACCCAACCACCCACCCCTAATCCCCCCAACCAGCCACCCCCAATCACCCAACCCCAACCATCCACCCAGCCACACTCACCTAGCTACCCAACCACACCCACCCAGCCAACCACCACCTACCCCCCATTGAACCTCACCACCTACCTCCACCACCTATCCCCACTATCTCTCTCCACCAACTACCCCCACCCACCCCAACAACCAACCACATCCACCTACCCAATCACCTACCCCCGCCCACCCACCTAACCACTCAGCCGCATCTATACAACCCCACCACACCCAGCCACCTACCCACCACCTAACAATCACCCACCCCCACCCAGCCACACCTAACCTCCCACCACCACCCAACCGCCTATCCTTACCCATCCACAACTACCCACCCAGCCACACCCAACCACTGACCCAGCCACCCATCCCCAACCACCCAGCCATACCCAACCAGTCACCCAGCCACACCCTACCACCTACTCGGCCACCTACCTACCTACCTACCCACCCAACCACTCACCCACCCAACCACTCACCCACCCAAACACCCAGCCAGCCACACCTAACAACCCAGCCACCTACCCACCTACACCCAACTAATCACCCAGCCACATCCAACCGCCCATCCCCACTCAACCGCCCAGCCTCACCCAGCCACATCCAACTAGCCACCACCAACCACCCAGCCACAGCCACACCCAGCCACCCACAACCACCCAGACACAAAGGATGAGGAGAGGCTGGGTGACACGCCCACCTATCCACACCCAATTACTCAGCCACCCAACCACACCCAGCTACCCCCAGCCACCCAACCACCTACCCCCACCCAGCCACACCTAACCCCCACCCCACCCACCCAACCACCTACCACTAACCACCCCCACCCACCCAACACCCACCCACACCCAACACCCACCCACACCCATCCACCTTATCACCCAGCCAAACCTACACACCCACACCCAACTAGACACACCCAACCAGCCATCCACACCTAACTAATCACCCACCTACACCCAAACACCTATCCACCTAAACACCCAGCCAGCCAGCCACTTACCCAGCCTGCCAGCCACCTACCTACCCACCTACACCTAATCTATCACCTACCTACACCCACCCTCACTCAACCGCCCAGCCTCACCCAGTCATACCCACACCCACTCACCCACACCCACCAGCCACCCCACCACCTACCCACACCCACCCCACCACCTACCCCTACCCACCCCTACTCATCTAATCACCCAGCCACATTTATACACCCAACCAGCCACACCCAGCTAGCCACCCAACCACCCAATCACTCACCCACACCCAACCAGTCATCCAGCCAGCCACCCAGTCACACGCACCCAGCCACACCCAACCACCCAATCACTCACACCCAACCAGCCACCTAGCCACGCCCAACTACCCCTACCCAGCCACCCAACCACCCCCATCCAGCCACCCAGCCACACACACCCACCCAGCCACACCCACCCAGCCACACCCAATCAGATACACCCAATCAGATACACCCAATCAGATACACCCAATCAGATACACCCACCCAACCACACCCACCCAGCCACACCCAATCAGATACACCGAACCAGTCACCCAGCCACAACCAACCAGCCACCCACTCACACCCAACCAGTCACCTAGCAACGCAGCCATACCCAAGTAACCACCCAATCACACCCAGCCACACCCAATTACTCAACCCCAACCACCCAGCCACTCCCAGCCAGCCGCCCCCAACCACACCCAACCGCTTGCCCACCTACACCCATCCATCAAGCCACACCCAACCACCCACCCTCACTCAGTCACACCCACACAGCCACGCCCAACCACCCAGCCACCCACACCCACCTAAACACCCAGCCTCTCTCATCCTCATTCTTGTGACACACTCAGCCACCCACACCCAACTACCCAGCCACACAACCACCTATCCCCACCCACCCTCACCCAGTCACCCCCAACAACCTACGACTACCCTCCCCCAACCCCCCAGCCATCCACCCAGCCCTAACCCCTAACAACCTACCCTTACCCACCCCCACCCACCCAGCCACACCCAGCTAACCACCCAGCCATACTCAGCCACACCCAACCACCTATCCCTACCCACCTAATCACCCAGCCACACCCAACCTGCCACCCAGCTATACCCAACCAGCCATCCGCCCAACCATCTACTCCTACCCACCCCCACCCACCCAGCCACACCTAACTTCCCACCCAATCATCTACCACTACCCACCCCCACCCAGCCACACCGAAACAGCCACCCAGCCACACTCAACCACATAATCACCCAGCCACACCCAATCAGTCACCCAACCACTCACCCACACTCAACTACCTACCTAGCCATCGAGCCACACCCGACCAGCCACCCAGCCACACCTGCCTAGCCACACCCAACTACCCACCCATTCACACCCAGCCACTCAACCAACTAACCATCCAACCACACCCAACCAGCCACCCAGCCACACACAACCACCTACCCCCACCCACCAAACCACCCAGTCACATACAGCCACCCAACCACACCCAACCACACCCAACCAGCCACCCAGCCACACCCAACTAGCCACCCACCAAACCACCCAGCCACACCCAACTACCCATCCACCTACACCCACCCAGCCACACCCAACCACCCAGCCACACTCATATACCCTCACACACCCCCATCTATCCACCCAGCCACCCACCAACACCCAACTAGCCACCCACCTAACCACCCAGCCACATCCATACACCCCCAGCCACACTCATATACCCCCACACACCCCCATCTAGCCACCCACCGACACCCAACCACCTATCCCCACCCAACCAGCCACCCAACCACACCCACCCAGCCATACTTCTATAGTTCTATTAACTTTTGCGACGTTCTTTCATTTGCCGTTTCCCACACATTGACTATATTTGCCCAGACGTTTTCGACTGGGTTAAGTCACATTCCTTGCATGGCCATGGAAGGACCTCGAGATGGTTTTGGGCACGAAACCATCTCGTATCTTCCCTTGACTTATGTATTTGGCAGTTATCCTGCATAAATACGATCGTTTCTGGGAAAGGCAATGCATAGCTACGTACTGACGGGAGAAACTTCTAATACAACATTTCTCCAAATTGAATCTCTCCTTTATTTCTGCTAGTTCGTCAACGCCATGCAGGAATACCCCTCATATATCACGTGACCACTCCTCTTAGTTTCGTAGATGTTTTGTCTGTCATATCTGAAAAATATAGAATGAGATATTAATGTTATTAGTACACATTCAGCAATAATCTATAGATAGTGATCTTTCCCATATATAATGCAATAGAGTTTAAAGGAATAGTCCAGAGGGTAGTAGAATTTTTTTTTTTTTCTTCACTTTATTTGCAAAATAAATCTAAAACATCCCAAGGCATCATTTTGTAAATTCATTCACGACACTAGACTTTATAGCCCTTTTTATCTAGCATTTTTGCTCCTGAAATCCGTCTGCTGCAAATTGTTGCCGGTGGCGCCTCCATACGGGTGTGACATAGTACCGTGTATATGGGTCAGGAGATCAGCCATTGTGCATTTATCGTGACGAATTTCAATGTCTGGTGACAAGTTTAGCCTGCAGGGAACTACCAAACGATGGAGGAAAGATGGAGGCACTTGAAAATTGGATGTGCATAAAGTTTACCCATTCGCCCCGGGTAAAAATAAACAAAAGATGGGGAAAATGCTGTGCTCATTTATATTTTTCTACACTAGATGGCTCTGCCTTACCTAATTTCACCTTTACTTGAATTGGGGGGAGAATGTATTTTTACTAGTGCTATGAATATCGATGATTATTTTTATTATAAACATTATAACAACTATAATGGTATAAACATTAGCAACAGCAAAATAAGATAACGCAAAATAATTTCGTAAATTAAAGAATAGGGTAAATAGGCGAGACAAGCAGTACAAATACAAGTGGAGCCGTCTATGTGTGAAAACAAACATCGTGAATGGGTTAATGAAGGAGGAAGACGAGTCGTCAGATTCGGCCTATAACATGGCTCAAATTGGTATCCTTTCACCAATTCTACTTCTAGCTCCCTATCTTCTAGTTCATCATCAGTAAGATCTATTGATTCTGTAGACAGAATCAATAGATCTTTCACTTTCAACTTCACTGGAACTGCTGTAATCTTGTTGCTCGCCATGTTGGACAATGGCTATACAAGGTATGACGTCACGCGACGTTGTGGCGCCAATGGTCGTTTTTGAGGCAGACAAATTTTGTGGGCTTACAAAATCATGTTTACTTTTATTATCCAAGTCTAAATCAATTTGATTTTATTAATTGATAAATATTAACCTAGGCCAACTGTGGATGCAAAATAGTGCACCAGTTCTAGGCTATCCCTTTAAGAGGTAAAAATGTAATTTGCGCACCTCGTGTTATCTCTCCAGCACTGGAGCTTTCCGTGCGCGATGGAACAAAATGGTTTTTCATCACTCCAGATTACCCATCCCCATTAATCCAAATCATTGTCTACATATTGCTGGGCGAATTGGAGGCGACCTTGGCGATGACGTTCGGTCAACCTCCCTTTAATGGCTGGTGTTCGGTGATTAATACCAACTGCATGCAATCTATTTCGTCTTGTTACTGGGAGCTACAGGTTCTTGTATTTTAACTCCACTGATGGAGGGGTTCGCCTCCACCATCTTCCTGATCTGAGCATCCTGATCTTCGGTTGTCTTTGGTGGAGCACCGGAACGAGGGCGATCGTTCAGGGTGCCCTCCTCCTCCCACCTTATCCACCTGTAAATTACAGACCGGTAGATACCCAGCTCCCTGGAAATTCCACTAAGAGACCACCTTCATCCCAATAATACGACTACTATTCAAAATTTTAGTTTGCCTTGCGTTCATCTTCAAGCGTGTCAGCTAAGACTTTCAGGGACAACCTCGTTTTCACCTCGGATTTCCCATACTTCATAATGGCGTTATACTGTCGACAATGCATTTTTTTTTCATTTAACATGGGTTAACAGCAAGATTGATATTCAGGATTTTAAGGGTCTTCATTATCAAAGATTATGAAATAAAATTTATATAATACTTGGTTCCTCTCTTTAAATTACCCAATTAGTAGTTCAGGGTTAATAAACAAGCGTTCAGCATACTGCGTTTTCCATAAACTTGTAAGGGGAATGTATAAAAACCTTAACTTTGTAAAGTTTAGATATATATACATATATACACATATGCCTATTTATATCATTTATAGCCATGAACTGACAAACAAGAGAATGAGAAATACGAATGTGACAGATAAATTTAGAGAATTAGATACAACGGCTAATAGACCATGCAAAGAGGAAATGTCATATGTAATAGTACATGTGATACATATATTTTTGTAAGTCATCAAGTATATACTTGTGCACACACGCATACGTACACACACACGGGCACGCGTACACGCATACACACGTAAACACATACGATACACACAGTGATAAAGCGTCTTTATATTCTCCATACTCCTACAGGGGTTTTGCGTTAATGTAATGTTTCATAATACTTCATTATTTCGATCAGCTGCTACTAGATGGTGCAGTTTCGAGAAGCCCTTGCTTCTCAGCGAATTTGCAGATTTCTATTTGATTTAGCTGCCATACATTGAAGTATGAGGTGTTTTCTATACTCATGAAATATGAAAATATTGTTAGTTCTGTTCAAATAGAGGCGGAATGTCATTTCTATAAACAATTCAAAGAAGTCGCATTTGAAAAATATTCCATACAAAGCCAATTATAATTAATACTGCACATTTTGCAACCACTTATTTGAAGAGAGAGAAAAAAACGAAATATCAAATAGCTTTCAAAATATAGATTCTAATACACTGGCTATTTATGTTCTACCAATCACGCTCTTTGTTACAAACAACCTAGGGTTTTCGCCTTATTCATAAATATACTATTTACGCCATGTTTACATCGAGGTAGTTGCCAGATGTACAAAAGTGGGATGCAGCATGTGTACTGAAATATAATTCCGCAACTGTAGGCGACTCCGCCTCCACCTCTACTCTCTCTATCTTCCGATACAGATGGCAGTTCCTCAGCGAAATGACCTCGTCAGAACCGAGGTGTGTGAAGTGCGTTTCTTGCAGAACTATAATATCAGGAGCATCGTCGTCGGCTAGCTCGCGTCACCGTAGACAGCTTGCTGACGCAGCAAAAGCGACGGATCGCCACTCCACACGATTTTCCGCTGGTCTCATTGCTCCAACCATGCTGCCACATCCGCTCAACGCCTTGATGGTGTCGCCGTATCTTCTCTTCTGCCTGCCTCTGCCTCGTTTTCCTTCGATCTTTCCCTGCAGTATGATCTCCAGGTTGTCACCCTCCCTCCTCATTATGGGGCCAAAATACTTCAACATACGATTCGCGATCCGACCTAGCAGAATGGTGTTGACCCCAATCTCATTGATTATACTCTCCTTCCTGCTGCACACTGTCCATGGTACTCTAAGCAGTCTACGCCAGCACCACATCTCGAATGCTTGAATCCTCCGCTCGTCCACTACGTTTAGTGCCCATTTTTCGCAAGCATAGGATGCATTGGGGAATATGAGGGCTAGTACCAGACGTATTTTGGACTTTTTTGACACATGGTGGTTCTTCCAAACTGTTGTCAGGTGCGTCATAGCACTTTTAGCTTGTCCAATACGACTTTTTATCACCTTGTCGCAGCCACCAATTCGGTTGACGAACGCTCCCAAGTAGATGAAACTATCCACGTCCTCAAGCTTCACCCCATTCAACGTGACCAAATCTCCGCCTTCTTCACAGCCGATGGTCATCACCTTCGTTTTCTCGGTATTAATTTGCTGTATGGTTCTGATATAAGCCCTTAAGTAGGTGTATCAAGTGCTTTGGAATACCCATTTTCTCCAAAACATTCCACAGTTTCTTGTGTTGCACAGTATCGAATGCCTTGCTATAAACCACAAAACACAGATACAACGGATGTTTGAACTCACAGGCTTTTTCGATAATGTGCTACAGATTGGCGATATGGTCTCTGGTTCCTCTACCTTTCACGAAGCCTGCCTGTTCAGTTGGAATTTCACGAGCTGCATAACTTTCCATCCTCTGGTTGATATGTAGCAGAACTTTGCTAGCATGCGGGATAAGTGAAATTGTTCCATAGTTCTTGCAGTCCTTGTCTCCTTTCTTGAAAAGTGGGATAAATAGCGATGCTTTCCATTCTGTTGGCCATATCCTTGATTTCCAAATTTTGTTACACAATGTCAACACTCACTCCAGCCTCACCCGCCGCCTTGATCAGCTCTGCCGGAATATCAACACCAGGTGACTTGTTCATCAAGAGTTTCCGCAGCGCCTGCTGGATCTCCGACACTGTGATTTCTAGTTCGTGGGACGTTTCATCAATATCGCCACCATCTTCGTTGCCCACTTCCTCATGACTCATGTATAAACCCTCATAATATCCCCTTCACCGGCCCTTTACCTCCTCTGCCTCGCACAGGATATCACCCTTTTCATCCCTGAATGCCACACAGCGAGGTTGAAACTTGCTGCTGAGTTTTTTTAACACAGGCAAAAAGATCCCTGAAGTGGTTGGATAGACTGTTCCTCTCGCTTCAATAATGACCATTTCTGCTCCATAGGGTTTCGCATACTCCCAGTATTTTCACATCCAAGCGGTCTATATCCGTTGTCACCGTATTTAACACTTCAGGGTGCGCACATTCCAAGTAGCCAGGTGCAGCGTGTCACGCATGTTGGTACTATGTGGTGTTGTATTAGCCGACGAGACTCCACTGGCATCAGCCGCGTCACTACAGGAAGAGGCCGTGACTGTGTTGCGTGTCCCGATCCTTTGCCCACCGGGATCAGTGGTACTATCTTGCTTTGCCGGGCTAGCAGCTGTCTCCTCGTTTTGACGATCCATGTTTGCTGCATTCTCTTGGGAATGTATAGTGAAGTAGTTTCCCGTGGCTTTCTTCACCGCAGTGTCCGCTAATTGGACTGGTTAATCCCTACCGGCGTGTGTTCGTCGTACTGGCACACCCGCCAGCGATTTGCTGGGTCGGCCGTTTCTCGAATCTGGTCGATACGGCGCCCTCCCCAGCTGATGCCATCACTGCTGGCCGATGACGTATTTACCCCAACCAAGGGCATTGTTCAGGAGCATAGGACGAGGCCAATAATCTGAGGTCATTTACTTTAGATCTAAAACTTCGACAGTTCCACTGTATAATGGTTAATGTGAAGATTACGTTTTATAGGGTTTAGAAGTGCCTTGTCCACCAGTTTTAATTTTCTTTTTCTGGGAAGGAGGTTCGTCCTCCTCTCCCTCGCTACCAAGGGCCCTCCCATGGGTAATTTTGGAGTCTCGCTGCCAGGGAGTGCCCGGTGGAAGATGATCTGTTCCAAGAAACAGACAAAATGCCAGGCGAAATCCTAGCAGGAGTCTCCTGGACGAGAAGGTGCCATCCAGATTGTGTTTTGGTATCATCCTCCTTATGATGCTGCTGCTTTTGCTGGGTTGATTCAGCAATATGTTGAATTATATTTTTCAATTCTTTAAATCTGGCCTAGCCAGATTAAAGAATTGAAAAATATAATTCAACATATTGCTGAATCAACCCAGCAAAAGCAGCAGCATCATAAGGAGGATGATACCAAAACACAATCTGGATGGCACCTTCTCGTCCAGGAGACTCCTGCTAGGATTTCGCCTGGCATTTTGTCTGTTTCTTGAAACAGATCATCTTCCACCGGGCACTCCCTGGCAGCGATTACCCATGGGAGGGCCCTTGGTAGCGAGGGAGAGGAGGACGAACCTCCTTCCCAGAAAAAGAAAATTAAAACTGGTGGACAAGGCACTTCTAAACCCTAGAAAACGTAATCTTCACATTAACCATTATACAGTGAAACTGTCGAAGTCTTAGATCTAAAGTAAATGACCTCAGATTATTAGCCTCGTCCTATGCTCCTGAACAATGCCCTTGGTTGGGGTAAATACGTCATCGGCCAGCAGTGATGGCATCAGCTGGGGAGGGCGCCGTATCGACCAGATTCGAGAAACGGCCGACCCAGCAAATCGCTGGCGGGTGTGCCAGTACGACGAACACACGCCGGTAGGGATTAACCAGTCCAATTAGCGGACACTGTGGTGAAGAAAGCCACGGGAAACTACTTCACTATACATTCCCAAGAGAATGCAGCAAACATGGATCGTCAAAACGAGGAGACAGCTGCTAGCCCGGCAAAGCAAGATAGTACCACTGATCCCGGTGGGCAAAGGATCGGGACACGCAACACAGTCACGGCCTCTTCCTGTAGTGACGCGGCTGATGCCAGTGGAGTCTCGTCGGCTAAAACAACACCACATAGTACCAACATGCGTGACACGCTGCACCTGGCTACTTGGAATGTGCGCACCCTGAAGTGTTAAATACGGTGACAACGGATATAGACCGCTTGGATGTGAAAATACTGGGAGTATGTGAAACCCTATGGAGCAGAAATGGTCATTATTGAAGCGAGAGGAACAGTCTATCCAACCACTCGAGGGATATTTTTGCCTGTGTTAAAAAAACTCAGCAGCAAGTTTCAACCTCGCTGTGTGGCATTCAGGGATGAAAAGGGTGATATCCTGTGCGAGGCAGAGGAGGTAAAGGGCCGGTGAAGGGGATATTATGAGGGTTTATACATGAGTCATGAGGAAGTGGGGAACGAAGATGGTGGCGATATTGATGAAACGTCCCACGAACTGGAAATCACAGTGTCGGAGATCCAGCAGGCGCTGCGGAAACTCTCGATGAACAAGTCACCTGGTGTTGATATTCCGGCAGAGCTGATCAAGGCGGCGGGTGAGGCTGGAGTGAGTATGATGTTGACATTGTGTAACAAAATTTGGAAATCAAGGATATGGCCAACAGAATGGAAAGCATCGCTATTTATCCCACTTTTCAAGAAAGGAGACAAGGACTGCAAGAACTATGGAACAATTTCACTTATCCCGCATGCTAGCAAAGTTCTGCTACATATCAACCAGAGGATGGAAAGTTATGCAGCTCGTGAAATTCCAACTGAACAGGCAGGCTTCGTGAAAGGTAGAGGAACCAGAGACCATATCGCCAATCTGTAGCACATTATCGAAAAAGCCTGTGAGTTCAAACATCCGTTGTATCTGTGTTTTGTGGTTTATAGCAAGGCATTCGATACTGTGCAACACAACAAACTGTGGAATGTTTTGGAGAAAATGGGTATTCCAAAGCACTTGATACACCTACTTAGGGGCTTATATCAGAACCATACAGCAAATTAATACCGAGAAAACGAAGGTGATGACCATCGGCTGTGAAGAAGGCGGAGATTTGGTTACGTTGAATGGGGTGAAGCTTGAGGACGTGGATAGTTTCAACTACTTGGGAGCGTTCGTCAACCGAATTGGTGGCTGCGACAAGGTGATAAAAAGTCGTATTGGACAAGCTAAAAGTGCTATGACGCACCTGACAACAGTTTGGAAGAACCACCATGTGTCAAAAAAGTCCAAAATACGTCTGGTACAAGCCCTCATATTCCCCAATGCATCCTATGCTTGCGAAAAATGGGCACTAAACGTAGTGGACGAGCGGAGGATTCAAGCATTCGAGATGTGGTGCTGGCGTAGATTGCTTAGAGTACCATGGACAGTGTGCAGCAGGAAGGAGAGTATAATCAATGAGATTGGGGTCAACACCATTCTGCTAGGTCGGATCGCGAATCGTATGTTGAAGTATTTTGGCCCCATAATGAGGAGGGAGGGTGACAACCTGGAGATCATACTGCAGGGAAAGATCGAAGGAAAACGAGGCAGAGGCAGGCAGAAGAGAAGATACGGCGACACCATCAAAGCGTTGAGCGGATGTGGCAGCATGGTTGGAGCAATGAGACTAGCGGAAAAATCGTGTGGAGTGGCGATCCGTCGCTTTTGCTGCGTCAGCAAGCTGTCTACGGTGACGCGAGCTAGCCGACGACGATGCTCCTGATATTATAGTTCTACAAGAAACGCACTTCACACACCTCGGTTCTGACGAGGTCATTTCGCTGAGGAACTGCCATCTGTATCGGAAGGATAGAGAGAGTAGAGGTGGAGGCGGAGTCGCCTACAGTTGCGGAATTATATTTCAGTACACATGCTGCATCCCACTTTTGTACATCTGGCAACTACCTCGATGTAAACTAAGCGTAAATAGTATATTTATGAATAAGGCGAAAACCCTAGGTTGTTTGTAACAAAGAGCGTGATTGGTAGAACATAAATAGCCAGTAAGTGTATTAGAATCTATATTTAGAAAGCTATTTGATATTTCGTTTTTTTCTCTCTCTTCAAATAAGTGGTTGCAAAATGTGCAGTATTAATTATAATTGGCTTTGTATGGAATATTTTTCAAATGCGACTTCTTTGAATTGTTTATAGAAATGACATTCCGCCTCTATTTGAACAGAACTAACAATATTTTCATATTTCATGATATAGAAAACACTTCATACTTCAATGTATGGCAGCTAAATCAAATCGAAATCTGCAAATTCGCTGAGAAGCAAGGGCTTCTCGAAACTGCACCATCTAGTAGCAGCTGATCGAAATAATGAAGTATTATGAAACATTACATTAACGCAAAACCCCTGTAGGAGTATGGAGAATATAAAGACGCTTTATCATTGTGTGTATCGTATGTGTTTGCGTGTGTATGCGTGTACGCGTGCCCGTGTGTGTGTACGTATGCGTGTGTGCACAAGTATATACTTGATGACTTACAAAAATATATGTATCACATGTACTATTACATATGACATTTCCTCTTTGCATGGTCTATTAGCCGTTGTATCTAATTCTCTAAATTTATCTGTCACATTCGTATTTCTCATTCTCTTGTTTGTCAGTTCATGGCTATAAATTATATAAATAGGTATATGTGTATATATGTATATATATCTAAACTTTACAAAGTTAAGGTTTTTATACATTCCCCTTACAAGTTTATGGAAAATGCAGTATGCTGAACGCTTGTTTATTAACCCTGAACTACTAATTGGGTAATTTAAAGAGAGGAACCAAGTATTATATAAACTTTATTTCATAATCTTTGATAATGAATACCCTTAAAATCCTGAATATCAATGTCGCTGTTAACCCAAGTATGTTAAAAAAAAAAAAAAAAAAAAAAAAAAAATGCATTGTCGACAGTATAACGCCATTATGAAGTATGGGAAATCCGAGGTGAAAACGAGGTTGTCCCTGAAAGTCTTAGCTGACACGCTTGAAGATGAACGCAAGGCAAACTAAAATTTTGAATAGTGGTCGTATTATTGGGATGAAGGTGGTCTCTTAGTGGAATTTCCAGGGAGCTGGGTATCTACCGGTCTGTAATTTACAGGTGGATAAGGTGGGAGGAGGAGGGCACCCTGAACGATCGCCCTCGTTCCGGTGCTCCACGAAAGACAACCGAAGATCAGGATGCTCAGATCAGGAAGATGGTGGAGGCGAACCCCTTCATCAGTGCAGTTAAAATACAAGAACCTGTAGCTCCCAGTAACAAGACGAAATAGATTGCATGCAGTTGGTATTAATCACCGAACACCAGCCATTAAAGGGAGGTTGACCGAACGTCATCGCCAAGGTCGCCTCCAATTCGCCCAGCAATATGTAGACAATGATTTGGATTAATGGGGATGGGTAATCTGGAGTGATGAAAAACCATTTTGTTCCATCGCGCACGGAAAGCTCCAGTGGCTGGAGAGATAACACGAGGTGCGCAAATTACATTTTTATTTTACCTCTTAAACTTGATCTCCCAATATAATACTGTCTATAGATTATTGCTGTTGGCACTAATAACTATATTCTAATATCTCATTCTATATTTTCAAGATGGACAGACAAAACATCTACGAAACTACGAGGAGTGGCCATGTGATATATGAGGGGTATCCTGCATGGCGGTGACGAAACTAGCGGAAATAGTGATTCAATTTGGAGAAATATGTTGTATTAGAAGGTTTCTCTCGTCAGTACGTAGATATGCATTGCCTTTCCCAGAAACGATCGTATTTATGCAGGAGAACTGCCCAATACTGTCAAGGGGCAGATACGAGATGGTTTCGTTGCCAAAACCACCTCGAGGTCCTTATGCCAAAGCAAGGAATGTGACTTAACAGTCGAAAAAAAAAAAAAAAAACCCGTATGGGAAATATAGTCAATGTGTGGTGAAAACGGCAAATGAAAGAAAACGTCGAAAAAGTTAAAAAGAACTATAGAGTGTGGCTGGGTGGGTGGGGCTGGGGGCGGTTGGGTGGGGCTGGGTGTTGGTGAGTGTGCTGGGTGGTTGGGAGGGTTGTAGTGGGTGGCTGGGAGGGTGTGGCTGGGTGTTGGTGGTGGTGAGTGGTTGGTAGTGTGTGGCTGGGTGTTAGGTAGTGCGGGTGTGGCTGATTTGGGTGTGGGCGGTTTTTTGGGGGGGGGTGTGTAGTTGGGTGGGTGGGGGGTGGGTGGTGGGGGTGGGCAGGTTGGTGTAGTTGGGTGGGCGGGTGGGATAGGTGGTTGTGTGTGGGTGGGGGTAGGTGGTTGGTGTGTCTGTGTTGCTAGTTGGGCGAGTGGGTTGGGTATGTCGCTGGGTGGTTGGGGTGTGGTGGCTAGTTGGGGGTGGGGGGTTGGGGAGGTTTTGGGGGTGTGTGGGTGTGGCTGGGTGGGTGGGGGTGGAGATGGTGGCTAGATGGAGTGTTGGGGTGGACTGGGGGATGGATGTGGTTGGGTGGTTAGGTTGGGTGGGGGTGGTGGCTGGTTGGAGGGGTGGCTGGGTGGTTTGGTGGGTGGGGGTTAGGTGGTTGTGTGGCTGGTTGGGTGTGATGGATGGTTAGTGGTTGAGTGGTGGGTGTGACTGAGTGATTTGTTGTGCTGTGTGGGTAGTTGGGTGTGGCTGGGTGGGTTGGGCGGTGGGTGGCTGGTCGGGCGTGGCTCAGAGGCTAGGTAGGTAGTTAGGGTGTGGGTGATGGCGTTGGCGGACTGTTGGTTGGGTGGGTGATAGGTGGTGGTAGTAGGTGGTGGGTATGGCTGTTTCGGTTGTGGCTGGGTGTTGGGGATGGGTTAAGGAGTAGGTGTTGGAGTGGAGTGGGGGGTGGGTGGCTGGGTGGGTGGGGGTGATCTGGGTGGGTGGTTGGGGGTGGCGGGTGGCTGGATGGGGTTGTTGGTGGCTGGGTGGGGTGGTTGAGTAGGTGTGACTGGGTGGCTGGTTGGGTGGCTGGGTGGAAGGTGGTGTGGTGGGTGGGTTGGGTGTGGGCGAATTGATTGGGTGGTTGGGATGTGTTGGGTGGCTAATTGGGTGTGGCTAGTGGGTGGACTGGGTGGGTGTGGTGTGGCTGGTTGGTGTATAATGGGCTGGGGGTTAGGTGGGTGGGGGTGGAAGGCGTAGGGTGGGTGGGGGTGGGTAGGGGGTAGGTGGTTGGGTAGGTAGGTAGGAGGGTAGTGGGTAGGTGGGAAGGTGGGATAGGGGATAGGTAGGTAGGAGGGTAGGTGGGTAGGTGGGAAGTTGGTAGGAGGGTAGGAGGGTAGGTGGGTAGGTGGGAGGTGTATAGGTAGGTGGAGGGTAGAGGGTTAAGGTGGGAAGTGGGAAGGGGATAGGGAGGTAGGAGGGTAGGTGGGAAGGTGGATAGGATAGGTAGGAGGGTCGGTGGAAGGTGGATAGGGAGGTAGGAGGGTCAGGTAGGAGGGTAGGTGGGAAGGTGGTAGGTGGTAGGAGGGTAGGTGGGTAGGTGGGTAGGTGGGAAGGTGGATAGGTGGATAGGTGGTAGGAGGTTAGGTGGGTAGGTGGGAGGTGGACAGGTGGATAGGTGTAGGAGGGTAGGGTTAGGTGGGTAGGTGGGAAGGTGGATAGGTGGATAGGTAGGTAGGAGGGTAGGTGGGTAGGAGGGTAGGTGGGAAGTGGATAGGTAGGTAGGAGCGGTAAGTGTGCGGTAGGTGGGTAGGTGGGTAGTGGGAAGGTGGATAGTGGATAGGTAGGTAGGAGGGTAGGTGGGTAGGTGGAAGGTGGATTAGGAGTGTAGGAGGGTAGGTGGGTAGGTGGGAAGGTGGATAGGTAGGTAGGAGGGTAGGAGGGTAGGTGGGTAGGTGGCAGTGGATCGGGTAGGTAGGAGGGTAGTAGGGAAGGTGATAGGTGGGTAGGGAGGTAGGTGGTTAGGGGGTAGGTGGGAAGGTGGATAGGTAGGTAGGAGGGTAGGCAGGGTCAGGTGGGAAGGTTGAATAGGTAGGTAGGAGGGTAGGTGGGAAGGTGAAAGGTGGATAGGTAGTAGTAGGAGGGTAGGGGGAAGGTGGATGGTAGGTAGGAGGGTAGGAGGGCTAGGTGGGAATGGTGGATAGGAGGTAGGAGGGTAGGTGGGTAGGTGGGAAGGTGGTAGGTAGGTAGGAGGGTAGGAGGTAGTGGGTTAGGTGGGAAGGTGATAGGAGGGTAGGTGGAAGGTGGATAGGTAGTAGGAGGGTACGGTGGGAAGGTGGATGGATAGGGGATAGGTAGGTAGGAGGGGAGGTGGGTAGTGGGAAGGTGGATAGGTTAGATAGGAGGGATAGGTGGGTATGGTGGGAAGGCTGGATAGGTATGTAGGAGGGTACGTGGGTAGGTGGGAAGATGGGTTCGGTGGGAAGGTGGATAGGTGGATAGGTAGGTAGGAGGGTAGGAGGGTAGGTGGCATGGGTAGGTGGCCTAGGTGGACTGGGTAGGTGGTGGGTAGGAGGAGTAGGTGAGGGTAGGGTAGGTAGGTGCTGTTTGGTGTGCGGTAGGTGGTTGGGTGAGAGGTAGGTGATGGTTGTTGGTTGTAGGTGGGTAAGGTGCTGGGTCGGCTGGTAGGGTGTGGCTTGATGACTGTGGGGGGGCTGGGTGACTGGTAGTGGGGTTGGGTGTGGTTGTGTGTGGGCTGGTGTAGGGGCGTGTAAGTAGGTAGGTAGAGTTAGTTGCTGGGAGGCTGGGTAGGAGGGTTAGGTGGCTAGGTGGTTAGGTGACTGGTTAGTGGCTAGGGACGTATGTGGCTGGGTTAGGAGGGTAGGCGGGTAGGTGACTGGGTAGGTGGGTAGGAGGTAGGTGGCTGAGTAGGTGGGTAGGTGGAAGGTGGGTTAGGTGGGTAGGGGCTGGGTAGGTGGGTAGGTGGCTGGGTAGGTGGGTAGGTGTGGGTAGGTGTGAGGGTGGTGGGTAGGTGGGTAGGGGTCTGGGTTAGGTGGGTAGGTGGGAAGGTGGGTAGGTGGGAAGGTGGGAAGGTGTGTAGGTGGGTAGGTGGCTGGGTAGTGGAAGAGTGGGTAGGTGGGGTAGGTAGGGTAGGTGGGAAGAGTGGGTAGGTGGTAGGTGGGAAGGTGGGTATGTGGGTAGGTGGGTAGGGGGAGCGTGGGAAGGTGGCGTAGGTGGGTAGTGGCGGTAGGTGGGAGGTGGGTAGGTGGGAAGGTGGGTAGGTGGCTGGTTAGGTGAGTAGGATGGCTGGGTAGGTGGGAAGGGGGTAGGTGGGTAGGTGGCTGGTAGGTGGGTAGGTGGCTGGGTAGGTGGGTAGGTGGGAAGGTGGGAAGTGGGTAGGTGGAAGGTGGATAGGTGGGTAGGTGGAAGGTGGGTTAGGTGGGAAGGTGGGTAGGTGGGAAGGTGGGAGGTGGGAAGGTGGGCTAGGTGGTGGGTAGTGGGTAGGTGGGTAGGTGGAATGTGGGTAGGTGGGAAGGTGGGTAGGTGGGAGGTGTCTCTGGGTAGTGTGGGTAGGTGGGTAGTAGGTGGGAGGTGAGGTAGGGGGAAGGTGGGTAGGGTGGAAGGTGGCTGGGTGGTGGGAAGTTGGCTGGGTGGGTGGGTAGGTGGGAGGTGGGTAGGTCGGAAGGTGGGTAGGTGGCGTAGGTGGGAAGGTGGGTAGGTGGAAGGTGGGAGGTGGGAAGGTGGGTAGTGGGCAGGTAGGAGAAAGTGGTAGGTGGGAAGGTGGGAAGGTGGAAGGTGGGAAGGTGGGTTCGGTGGGAAGGGGAAGGTGGGTTAGGGGGTAGGTGGCTGGGTAGGGGGAAGGTGATGGGTAGGTGGGTCGGTGGGTAGGTGGGAAGGTGGGTAGGTGGGAAGGGGGGAAGGTGGGTTAAGGTGGGTAGGGTGAAGGTGGGTAGGGGGAAGGTGGGAGTGTGGCTAGAGTGGTAGGTGGGAAGGTGGGGTAGGGGGAAGGTGGGTAGGTGGGAAGGGGGGTAGGTGGGTAGGTGAATGTGGGTAGGTGGAAGGTGGGAGGTGGGAAGGTGGGTAGGTGGCTGGGAGGTGGGTAGTTGGGAAGGTGGGAAGGTGGGTTAGGTGGGAAGGTGGGAAGGTGGGAAGGTGGGTAGGTGAGGTGAGGTGGGAAGTGGAAGGTGGGTAGGTGGGAAGGTGGGTAGGGTGGGAAGGTGGGAAGGTGGAAGGTGGAAGGTGGGTAGGTGGGGTAGGTGGGAAGGTGGGAAGGCTGGGAAGTGGGAAGGTGGGTCGGTGGAAGGTGGGAGGGGGGTAGGTGTGTAGGTGGCTGGGTAGGTGGGTAGGTGGTAGCTTGGGCAGGTGGGAAGTGGGTAGGTGGGAGGTGGTGGGTAGTGGAATGTCGGGAAGGTGGGTTGGTGGAAGGCTGGGTAGGTGGGAAGGTGGTAGGGGGAAGGTGGTGTAGGTGGGTTAGGTGGAAGGTGGGTCTTGGGTGGAAGATGGGTCGGTGGCTGGTAGGTGGGTAGGTGGTGTAGGTGGTGGGTAGGGGGTAGGTGGGAAGGTGGAAGGTTGGGAAGGTGGGTAGGTGGAAGGTGGGAAGGTGTGGGTAGGTGGGAGGTGGTAGGTGGGAAGGTGGGAAGGTGGGTAGGTGGTGGTGGGTGGGAGGGGGAAGGTGGGTAGGTGGGTAGGTGGGAGGTGGTAGGTGGGTAGGTGGGTAGGTGGGAAGTGGGAAGGTGGGGGTAGGTCGGGTAGGTGGGTAGGGGGTAGGTGTGGAAGGTGGAGAGGTGGGAAGGTGGGTAGGTGGCAGGTGGGTAGGTGGGGAAGGTGGGGGAAGGTGGGTAGGTGCGGTAGTGTGGGTAGGTGGGCAGGTGGAAGGTGGTAGGTTGGTAGGTGGGAAGGTGGGAAGGTGGGTAGGTGGGTAGGTGGCTGGAAGGTGGGTAGGTGGGTAGGTGGGAGGTGGTGGGTAGGTGGATAGGGTGGGAAGGTGGGAAGGTGGGTAGGGGGAAGGTGGGTAGGGGGAAGGGGGTAGGTGGGAAGGTGGGTAGGTGGAAGGTGGGTAGGTGGGTAGGTGGCTGGGTAGGTGGTAGTGGCTGGTAGGTGGGGTAGGTGCTGGGCTAGGTGAGTAGGTGGTAAGGTGGGAAGGTGGGTAGGTGGGAAGGTGGGTAGGTAGTGGAAGTGTGGGTGGGGGTGGCTGGGTGGGTTGGTGGTGTGGGTTGGGGGTGGCTGGGTGGGTTGTTGGGTGTGGGTGGGGTTAGTGTTGGGTGTGGGTGGGGGTGGCTTGGTGGGTTGTTGGGTGTGGGTGGGTAGTGTTTCATTTGTCGGGTGGGGTGAGGTGGCTGGGTGGGTTGTTGGGTGTGGGTGGCTGGGTGGGATGTGGGGGTGTGGGTGGGTAGTTGGGTGTGGGGCGGGGTGGTGGGTGGGTGTTGGTAGGTGGGGATGGTAGTGGTAGGTGGTTGGCTGGGTGGTGGGTAGAGGGGGTTAGGTGGGGTAGGTGGTGGTTGGGTAGGCGATAGATGGTGGTGTGGGTGGGTGTGGATAGTGTGGCGTTTCACAAAAGGTTAGGAGAGGCTGGGTCTCTGGGTGTTTGGGTGGGTTGTGGCTGTGTGGATGAGGTGGATGTGGGTGGGTGGGGTGGCGTGGCTGATGCTGGGTGGCTAGTTCGGTGTGGCTGGGTGAGGGTGCGGCGGTTGATTTGATTGGGGGGACGGGACGCGGTTGGGTGGGCTGAGTGTTTAGGTGTGGCTGGGTGGGTGGGTGTGGCTGGGTGGGTGGGTGTGGCTGGGTGGGTGGGTGTGGCGGGGGTGGCTGGTGGTGGGGCGGTTGGGTGTAGGTGGGGGGGTGGTTGGGTGGTTAGGTGTGGCTGGCTGGCTGGGTGTCTGAGGGGGCCCGTGAGCGGTTGAGTGTGGCTGGGTGTAGGTGGGTGATTGTTGGATGTAGGCGAGTAGGTGGCTGGAGGTTAGGTGTGGCTGGCTGGGTGTTTGGGGGGTGGGTGTAGGTGGTAGGTGGTGGCTGGGTGCTGGTTGGGTGTGCTGGGTGGTGGGAATGGCGTAGCTGGGTGAGTGGTTGGGTGTGGGTGTATAGGTGGGATGCTGTGGCTGTGGGTGATTTAGTGGGTGGGGGGTGGGCAGGTGTAGTGTGTGGGGGTGTGTAGGTTAGGTAGTTGGGTGTTGCTGGGTGTAGTTGGGTGGAGTTGGGTGTGGATGGGCGAGGGGTAGGTGGGAATAGGTTATAGGGGTGGGTGAGTGGGGGTAGTTGGTTGGGGAGCGGGTGGCTGTTTGGGTGTAAGCTGAGTGTAGTGGGTGTGGTTGAGTGAGTAGTTAGATGTGTTTCGGAGGTAGTTGGGGGGTTGGGTGGGTGTGGGGGTGTGGTTGAGGTGGGTTGTGGTGGGGGTGTGGGTTGGGTTTAGTTAGGTAGGGGGTGGTGGGTGTAGTTAGGTAGGTGGGTGGGTGGGTGTAGTAGGTAGGTGGGTGGGTGGGTGGTAGTTAAGGTAGGTGGTGGCGTGGGTTAGTTAGGTAGGTGGGTGGGTGGGTGTAGTTAGGTAGGTGGGTGGGTGGAGTAGATAGGTTAGGTGGGTTGGGTGGGAGTAGTTAGGTAGGTGGAGGGGTGGGTGTAGTCGTGGGTGGGTGGGCCCGTGTTGGGTGGGTCGGGCGTGGTTGGGGGGTGGGTGGGTGGGTGGGGTGGGTTGGGTGGGTGGGGTGGGTGGCTGTGGTTGGGTGCTGTGGTGCTGGTTAGGTGTGCCTGGTAGGGTGTTGGGTGTCTAGGTGTGGCTGGGGATTAGGTGGGTGGGGCATGGGATAGGTGTAGGTGGGTGGGGATGGTAGGTGTAGGTGGGTGGGGGTGGGTATGTGTAGGTGGGTGGGGGTTGGTGGGTAGGGGGGTAGGGGTGTAGGTAGTGTAGGTAGGTGTAGGTAGGGTAGGTGGGTGGAGGTGAGTGTGTTAGTTGGTTGGGTTGGGTGGGGTGGGTACTTGGGGTGGTTGGGCGTGGGGGTAGGTGGTGAATTAGGTGTAGGGTGGGTAGTGGGTGAAACTAGCGAGTGGGTAGTGGGGTGTGGTTGGTGTGGGTGGGTGTGTTGGTGGGTGGGGGTGGGTTGTTGTGGTTGGTTGGGGAGGGGGCTGGGTGTGGTTGGTTGGGTGGGTGGGTGGTTGGTCGGTGGTGGGTGGGTGTGGGTGTGGTTGTGGGTGGTTTTGGTTGGGTGGGAGGCTGGGTGTGTTGTTGGATGGGTGGCTGGGTGTGGTGTTGTTGGATGTAGATTGGGTGTGGTTGGTGGGTGGTGTGGTGGGTGTGTGGTTGGTTGGGTGTGGTTGGTGGTGGGTGTGGTTGGGTGGTGGGTGTGTTGGGTGGTGGGTGTGGTTTGGGTGGTTGTTGTGGTTGGTGGGTGGGTGTGTTGGTGGTGGTGTGTGTTGGGTGGGTGGGTGTGATTGGGGGGTGGGTGTTGGGTGGTGGTGGTGTGTTGGGTGGGTGGGGGGGGTTGGGGGGTGGGTGGGTGTGGTGGGGTGTGGTGGTGTGGTGTGGGTTGGTTGGGCTGGTTTGGTTGGGTGGTGCTGGGTGTGGTTGGTTGGGTGGGTGGCTGGGGGTGGTTGGTTGGATGGGTGGCTGGGTGTGGTTGGTTGATGGGGTGCTGGGTGTGGTGGTTGGATGGGTGGCTGGGTGTGGTTGGTTGGTTGGATGGGTGGGTGGTGTGGTTGGTTGATGGGTGGTGGGTGTGGTTGGGTGGGTGGTGTGGGGGGGTGTGGGGGGTGGGGTGGGGGGGGGGGGGGGGTGTGTGGGTCGGTGGGGGGGGGGTGAGGGGGGGTGGGTGGGTGTGGTTGGTTGGTGGGTGTGGTTTGGATTGGTGGGTGGGTGGGTGTGTTTCGTGGGTGGGTGAGTGTGGTTGGTAGTTTGGATTGGGTTTAGTGGATATTGGGTGTGGTTGGGGGTGGGTGTGGTGGGTGGTTGGTTATGTGTGCCTGGGTGAGCTGAGTAGGTGGGTGTGTCTGGTGGTGGGCGGTTGGGTGTGGGCGGTTTGGTGTGGGCGGTTGGGTGGTGGGCGGTTGGGTGGTGGTCGGTTGGTGGTGGGGCGTTGGGTGGTGGGCGGTTGGTGGTGGGCGGTTGGGTGGTGGCGGTTGGGTTGTGGCGTTGGGTGTGGCGTTTGGGTGTGGGCGGTTGGGTGGTGGTCGGAGGTTGGGTGATTAGTTGGGTGTGGTAGGTGGCGGTGTTGGGTGGCTGGGGGGGCTGGTGGGGTGGCTGTTTGGGAGTGGTTGGGTGTGGTTGGTGGTTAGTTGGGTGTGGCTGGGTAGCTGGTTGGGTGTGCTGGTTTGGGTGGGAGAGGTGGGTGGGGGTAGGTGGGTGGGGTAGGTGGGTGGGGGTGGGTGGGTGTGGTTGGGTGGGTGTGGTTGGGTGGGGGGGTATTTGGG